CTGTGTCCTTTGCCGGTGGTCCAGCCTCGGCCCAGCTTTAGTCTCATCTTCAACTTGTACTTCTCTATGTATTTTCTTGTCTTGACTGCTGCCTGTCAACGCGACTTAAGATAAGCGCTGAAAACTTTCTACCAAAAAAGGGTTGCTCTGACGTTTAGCTTTCGCATATTTGCACATCCCAGCCAGCGTTCTCATTCTCATTCCTACTCTCCTTCTCATAATATATTTTATAGACTTAGACGCTGTAAGGCGAAAACATGACAAATTCGAAAATAGAAATTCTTTAGACAGATTCTTGTCTAAAAACTTAAGTTCATGTTGGTAATATGCGTTTGAGTTTGTGCGTGAAATACAAAGAATTCAAATTAAATTTGTTGCTGACGCGTCTTGACTTGTCTGTCAATTGCTGTCAATAGATTTTACCGTTCTCCCAAACAAATTTTGCTCAGAGATTTATTAAACAGTAATGTAATAATGAAATAATTATCTTTGAAATATAAATGGCAGCTTGATTTTTGAACCTTTTTGTCAATAGAGTTTAAACGAACAGGGGCAAATTTACCCCAATTGATAAAGATTTGCTTTTCTGCATTTAAATCATAATAATTTCGGAATGTCAGCTAAGTATAACAGAAACAGAATTTCATTCATCAAGCGCCAGTATTACACACACATACTAGTCGTTATTGTTTTATCCACACAATTCACTCACCCATTCATATATTTTATGTTTTGTTTACAATGCCGGCGTGCGCGTCAACATGCAGGTGACGTCACCTGTACTCAGAGAGCGTACCATAAAAAGACGCAAGTTCTTAAGAGAGCTCGAAAGGTTCTGGCTGAAGAGAGCCGCACTGTTATACAGGATGGCACACTCAAAGAGCGAGCACAGCATGAACTGCCAGAGAGCTGCTAGCTCGACAGCGACAAGAGACGCCAGTTTGCAAATTAAGGAAGGAATTCGTAATTTGGCTGCTCATTTTGAGCATTTTGCGGTGAGTTAAGCTTCCGCAAATTGTGAGCGAAGGAGAGTGAAGTGAGTGAATGTCCAACACGAACCAAAATATTAACGAGTTGCCATCAACGGCGTCGGCTGTGGCCAGCATCTGTAGGGGCGCTCGTCGATTTGCTCGTCTCGTTCTGTCGTCATCGTCATCAGGTATCGACCAGAGTTTACACTAACCAGAAACGAGTCAGCGTTTGAATACGTCGGGTCGGGTCATTGCGCTGTGTGTTGCACTTAGTTGGCCAATCAACACATACACAGGCAAGCGAACTAAACACACACACTCATATATATATATATATATAATACACGCAACGAGTGGTGTGTTAGCGTAGTGTTGCATACCAACAGGCGGCGCAATCAAACAGAGTGGCGCAAGTATGTGTGCATGAGTGCGTGTGCGTAGCTGAAGAGCCGGCGTGACTCGTTTGTTTGTTTTTTGTTGTATATATTCTTTTTTTTCCAAATCATTATATGTGTTTCAAAGCTGTGTGAGAGGCTTTCCGAATATCAGTCAGTCCACTTCCTAGTATTTTCTGTTAATTGGTTGCAGGTTAAAAGCTTGCGAATTTCGTTTAACATGTTCTTCTTTCTCCAACTGTTTTGCCGGCTTTAGTGCGTGCTCTGTAATTCTCTCTTCGCGGTACTTCGCCTGCGCTGTAATCCAAAAATAAAAATAAAATATAGTGAAAGAGCCAAGTCGAAGCGAACAGCAAAGTTCAAGTGGCGGTTGAGCTGCGAAGCAGGTCATTTTACCTGCTTAGTAATATCTTGATAGCTAGCCCGCTTTCTCTTTCATATCGCCAAAATCCCATTCCCTTCGTAGTTAGGCTAAAGTTTTAAAAAACTTTATTTGGCTATTCATCCTTTGGCTATTGTCTTATTCGGAATGCTCACTGTGTAATATTTTCGCCCTGCAACAAAAGGCAAAATAATGACCTGCTGCTTGTCATATGGATGACTACTTACTAAGGCCAGGTTTGTCATGGCTGCCGAGCTAAAACACTACTACTAAAATATTGTTTTCTTTTATTGCGCATCAAATTGGTTAGCAAATAGTTCGCTTGAGACAGAGAGGAAGCGCAATAGATGGAGTGTGTGTTAGAGATAAATACGAAGATCGTTATGGCTTCGTCTGGATTGACCCAGGAAAGTTAGGTACAAGCTGCAACAGTTTACGAAGGTATCGACAGTTCAGTAACAAATTTATAAAATCTGGATCTAGTCGGCTAGATCCTCGTTTCTAGCGGTACTGTTACCAGAGTGGCCTTTAACAGTAACAAAATCAACAACGCGAGTGCACTTTGAGTGTATGTGTTGCAAATGCAATAAATTAATGGCCATTAACAATGTGTCAAAGGCTATCATTTTCGTGAAAATATGAAAAAAGTACTGTTCGCTACATTCTGCGGGCTTTTGCACTGCAAAAACATAAGCGACACCATCAACAGTTAATTGAATAAAACCTTTCTGCGTTCAATTTATGTTAACTTGCTACAAGTGATTAAAGTCTACACGAACGTGAAATTTATTATGTACAACCTCGTATGCTGTCAAGGTTGCCACAGCTTAATGCTATATGCATTTCCCCCATGCTATGGAATATCTTAACTCTTTGTGCTGACCATCCTTATAAAGGTCACAGCTTAGCACAAATTATTCACCTGAATTGTTGTAAAATGTGTTAATTCCACTAAATGTGCAGTAATAAAAAATATAGATAGAGAAGATTTCACACCCTGCTATATTAATGATTCTCAAAAATAGTCTAATAATAAATTACTGTTATACTTAGTCTTGTTTAGGTATTAAATACGGATAGGTATGAGCTAACGTGGGGATGTGATGAGGATATACAAACTTATGTTCAAGTAAATTAGTATGTATGAATGAATAAATATGCAAGTTTTATGTGGCATATTCTACTCCCTCATTCTCTCCCCCTGTTGGCCGTCGCCCACTTTTTGTGGTCATAGACATAATGATTAGTGTGCGATGCATAATAATCATTCTCGTTTTATATTCCACGATTAGTTTCCAATTCATATGCGTCTTGTTGCCGTTGTGCTTCTGTCTGTTTCTTCTTCTATGTTGCTACTTGCCCCAGCCAATTCCACTTCCCCTTCCCCATCCACCCACCGTTTGAATGTATCATGTTTTCATCTATTCCCTTTTGGTCGTCGTTTTGTGTTTGGTCCAAAAATATTACCACGTAAATTATTAATAAATTGAATGGTGTGGCCTAACCGTTCCCCGTTTTCTGCATGAACCTATACCCCTCTCTCAGCAAAAAGTCTTCGGCATGTCCAAGTTTCCGTCAATTTGTCTGTTACTTAACATGCATAAACTGTTTCCATGAATACATCAAAATATTTACGCTTTGCTTTACCACAGGCTTTAAAAGAAAACAAGACTGCGCTCGTCGGGAGTGGCCGACTGAAAGATACCCTTGGCCATTAAAAGTTCTTAATCAGCGCATAATTGCTGGAAAATTGGAGTTGATGGTGATTGTGACAGTCATTACACTTTTACATTGATTCATATCAAATGACAAACTGATCTATTGACCAGAATCACAATATATAGGGTCTTTAGCATTAATCTACAGACTAATGACCTGTTTAACAAAATGAAGAAGTATGGTTGATGTGCTTACAGTGTGCACAAAGAGCATTGACAATTCACTGCTGTGCCTATTCTAACGCATTTTATGATTTCCTTTACGGCCCAGCAATCGTCAGTTGCAGAACTTAGATCAGCACGTCACCAAATAAATCTCTGCGACTATACGACTATTATTATTAAATAAAACAGCTCGGCAAATAAATCGAAATAGCTTATTTTATATATTTAGTATTGTCCGTAGGTACTGGTATATCTTAAAATTATATTTCGGCTCGTGATTTACTTCTTTATATGTCAAACAGACCCGGGATACAGTTATTTCATTTCAATTGGCTTGGTTATTTTCACGGAGTTAATGTCACATTCATTAAACGGTCGTTTGGTATACTCCAAGTACATCAGCTTCTTATATGCTAAAAAAGCTAAATAAATAAATTAAAGACCGTCCCCGCGAAGTAACTTATACATACATAGGTACTCCCCTGCTCGTTTCCGATTACAGACAATACAGCACACGCCTGTGTGAGTTCCTAACATGGCTCTTGGTTTGGAGTTGGGACTGGAGCGTTGTGGCATGTCATAATTTCTGCCATTTACGGATTTGTGCGACTTCCGCCATGACGGGTAATTGGTGTGTGCGAGGTGAGGACACAGGGACACAGCAACACAGAAACAAGATGTCAAATTGTCAACGTACCTTAGCTTGCCCTAATCTCTATGCATGTACATGGTATTGTAGCTAGTTTATTTGCAATTATACCAACTGCCAATTGCCTTTGCATTATTATTATCATAATTTTTCGAGAGGGTGGAATTCGAGTATATGCGCCAGTGCGCCGCTAGTATAGACCCGTAGTTTCCTCGGCAGAAATAATATATTTATCAATGGTTGAAGTTTGTATATGTATAATCTGTAGTCTTAGGTTCAATGCTTAGTTTTGTTGTCAGATATTTAATTTTCGTGCATATCTACTCTATTTACATATAGCCAGCGATCAACTCTCTAATTACCTTTTATCGTTTGCATGTATGTACATATGTACTTATAATTATTTGTGAGCAACCTCAGAATTTGGTTGTGTTAGGCAATGTTAATATGAACTGACTGTTATCATTCTCACCACGGTGCTGTTTCACATTTTTAGTTTTTATTTCCGACGATTACGTCGCGACTCGCGACGTTGAATTCGTTGCTGTGGTGAGTCTGTTCATTGCTTCACACACCGCATTAAAGAGACGAAGAGCAGAAGTGTGCTCTCTGAGCGCAACATAGGCACTGTTAACTTACAGTTCGACTCTTTTCGCTTAACATTTACATGTTAAGCGTCGCTTAACTTGCACTTGTGTCTCTCTGAGAGTAACAGCAGCAACAGTCTTGTTTTTACCGGTTACGTTAACGGTTCAGCGTGCGTCGGAGTCGCAAGCGCAGTTATCACAAACAGCAGCAGCAGCAGCAGCAGCAGCAGCCGCAGCCGCAACCGAAGCCGCAGTCGCACTATTAGCAGCGGCATATTTTCTTTATCCAGCAACTAATTCACACAATTTGAAACGCACTTGTGGTGTTGCAAGCTGTAACTAACAGATCGGTCATTTGCCATTGTTTGTTCTACCTTATAACGGTACTAAATTCGTTGTCCAGTGCAAGTTGCATGTGTGCGTGGTGTAAACAAAGTTTTGATAAGAAATGAGTGAACGACAGTATGCTCCGATAAAGCAGACTATAACAGTGGCAACTTAAACAGCCATGAATATACAGTGATATGTGCACCTACCAGAAGTAGATGAGCAACACCTGTGCAAAAGTAAACAGAAGGTGAAAACGTTTGCAGTGTAAATAGAAAATAGTATAAATACCAACAAAATTTTGACCACTGCTTCGGTCGCAAACACAATTGGATAAATGATTATTGCAAAATTACGGCAAACTAAATTCTTATCACAACTTGCTCGCTTTACTCTGCAGTGCAAACGCTCCGCTTAGTTTGTTGTTGTTTGTCGGCATTCGGCAGTCGGCATCCACTGTGTAAAGTCTTCGTCTTATTGATGTGTGAGTGTGCCTCAGTGTGTTCGTGTGCAAACAAGTTTTGCGCAAAAGTGCGTCAAAGTAACAAGTGCTGCAGCAGCAACCTCAGCAACAGCAGTAACAACTCCAACCTCAACAACAACATCAAGAGGTACGTAAATCTATATCTGAGGAAGAGAGTACAAATTTAAAGCCCGTCTACTGGTCAAAGAGCTGAACATGCATTAGTGCATCTTGTATCTCTTTCTAGCAGACGAGCTTGCAAGCTGCAACATCCCACCACCGCACAGTGACTCAGCGCCTAGACCGCGAGACTCACGCTAAAAATATTGAAAGCCTCAGACCCCAGCGTTTAATCATATGCCATACAATCATAACAATATTCTCGAACACTTGTTGTTGTTCGTTGTAGATATTTTATTATTTCAAAAAAAAAAAAAAAAAAAAAAAAAAAAAAGTTATTTGCATGAACTACTCAGTAGTTTTCTAATATTAAATCACGTACCAAAGGCAGAAAATATAAAATGCGGTTGATTCATGCCTGCACAAGTTTTTTCTTTATATTTCTCTATTTTCAATTTCATTTTTGTGCGGCTGCTGAAGCGCAGTAAATATATGTATGTATTATAATATTACTATATATTTCTGTATATAAAATGTTTATATGGTATATCGCGCTAAACAAGTGCCACATTTGTTTTATGATTAAATCGAACTTGCTTGTACTGGGCTCAACTTGCAGGCGGTTTCTTTTTACATTCAACCAAAAGTAAATAGCAAATAAAACCAAAAGTTCCTGGTACTTCAAGTACGTATATACAGTGATACGTAATACTGACACCAATATTGCACCTCCAATATAATGTGCACTTGCTAGTACAATTACAGTTCGGTTGGTAATCGTGTGGTATAGTCCATAATCAGTACGTGATGGTAGCGGCTGTGTAAACTATCTTCAATGAGAAGAGCAGCCAGCAGCCAGCAGCCGGCAGCAGTAGCAGCCACAGCAATCAAAATAACTAAATTCTCGCTTGCCGCAATCCCAATTGATGCGAACACCACATGTCTGCCTCTTGATGAGGGACTCTTGTGAGTTCGTTCCAAAAATTAATGACTTAAAGGAGGTTCCGTCAAGTTGCGCCTAAATTAACGCGTGATCTTTATTAATATTTATTTGACTGCACCAAAAATAAAAGTCGAGAGCATAAATTACCTTTTGTTTATAAACATACACAATTTGCCAACTAAAAATAAATGACGCCCAGATAAGATACACAGTAGAAATAAACGCATACATATGCACATACATATACATGATACATTTTTTTCCTATCCCGAACAATCTTTGTGTTGATTGCCTCAACATGTTGCAGCTCTGAAGATATATTTATAAAAACCAATATTATTTTGTAAATTGTTAAATTAAAGTTAGTTAGTCATGGTGAATAACTAATCTTTTGAAAATTTATGCAGTTTAAAAAAATGAAAGACATTCAAAAATATCGCCAATTTGATCACAGAATCAACATGGAATGAATAGTTGAAATTTGTTCAGCAGTTTGCATTGCCGATTTGCTTAAAGCAACATCAGCAGAAATTGAATTTCTAATAATAAGGATTGCGATGGTTATACTTATTGATTGGATGGTTTATCTGTGGAAAAATTCCACTCATAATGAAATACAAACAAACAAGCAGGCAGTCAGCAACAAGCAAAAGGTCTGAAAAATAAACAGCAATGAAAATTTCCTACCATTCGTTTTTATTTTAAAGCAATTCACGTGTGAAATGAACAAAGTGTTGATATGTATGTTGTGAGGGGGAGGACTGCTGGGCAGGGAAAGCTGCCGCAGGGTATAAATGGGCTGAGCAGGAAATATTACGCAGCGGGGCAACAATATGAAAGAGTTACGTAGGGAAGAAGAGCAGCACCGAAATGAAATGAAATGAAATGCATAGCGAATCAAGAGGGGAATCCAAGAGCAAGTGGGCATAGAAGTGGCATACTATACAAATCAAGTTCAGGGAATGAATTTCATGTGTTGTCTCTGATGTTTTTGTTGCTTTTGAAACCAAAAAGAAAAAGAAAATTGAAAAAAAAAAACAAAAACAAAAACAAAACAAAAAGACTGTGGGCATTGGGGTGAGAAGAATGTTGCCGCTGCCTGTTGATGACGTTGCTGCTGCTGTTGTTGTCGCAAGACCTGACTAGTCAGCCTTGCCTTTGAATCTCTGCGTGTGCCAGGGCGAGCGATGTATTAAAATATCTTCAAAATTAAGATAAGTTTTCGTTAGATACTTAAATGTATATTTTATTCATTTTATTAACTTAACTTATAATTGCTGCAAGCAGCTTTTTGGCCGATCTAAAGGCTATGATGAGGAACAAACATGACAATAAGGCAGGCTTGGAAGAAAGTAGGTACAACGAAGCAACTGATGCTCACGCATAGTAGCCGAAGCTGCATCAGCAAAGGCATCAGTATCAGAGGCATGAAGAGAAACATATTAAAACGCACGTAGGCTGCAAGCGGACGTGAGCGTGACCCCGCCTCCAACTCGCTTCATTTTTTTCGTGTTAAGTTGCTGATTGAAGAGTATTCGAGTAGAGCAAATGTAGGTTGTGTATGCGCTTTGCGAGTATTTGTATTCAAGTCTGCTGGAAATCTGTTTAGAAACGTCTGCGGATAAGGTTAGAGAATGTGGGCGAAACTTTGGTCCTAACGCGTGGGTAGCTTATGATAATTTAAAAGTTCGCTTACATTTAACTTGTTTAACTTCGAGTAATTTTTTGTTTCGAAGAAAATAATTGGCACCCATGGCTTAATACGCTTAATAAGCTTCCATCGGTTACCAAAAGTCTAGATGACTCTGATTAGGTTAGGGGGTAAACCAACCAAAGATATTTTTTTTATTTTTTATTATTTGGTTTATTAAGTGTAGAAACGGTACAATCAGATATAGTACTTTAACAACACATATATATATATGTATATACAGAAAATTAGAGCCAAACCTCACTCAATTTGTGAGGCCTGAGGCCAACCAAAGATGTATGTTTTTTGTTTGCAATTTGTTGTTTTCCATGTTGCTTTACTTTTTATTGTCAATGTCAAATCAATTTTTGTACTTTTACTGTTTGCGTTTAATACTTTTTAGGATGATATTTAATAAGGGCATTGTCTTCGTTAGCATTTTACAGAGTTTACAAGGTATAAAAGTCAGAAAAGGTAAAACTATTCCCGCCTTACAGTTTCTAGGGCATAAAATACACTTCTCTCTGAAGCTTGAAGCCGAAATACAAAGATCAGGCCCAGACCAATTTGACGTTGTGTGCCATGTGCTGCAACAAAACAAAACCAGACACAAAATAAAAACACAAAACTGTACTAAATTTAACTCAAACCACACGGCATGGTCGGTCGCTGGTTGCTGGTTGCTTTAACAGCGGGTTGGTTCTTTTTCAGTTAACACGAGAAAAAATAAAAATACGTTATAAAAGGGCCAACAAAAACAGGTAGTAAAAAATCGACAACGAAACGGGCCCCGAGTGTAGATGTGTTTTGTTGTTTAACAGGGGAGGGACGAACAAAGCGCTTAGAAATTAAAGTAAAATACAACATATCGAGCAGCAGGGCTCGAACTCCAACTTGATCCCGAGCTCGAACTCGAAACCGAAACCAAAAGCGAAAGCAAAACTACTCGACTCGACTCAATCCAGGCCAATACACTAACAGCTACCTATCAGGGTTTCAGGCCGTTGCTCGGAGTTCGCTGCTCAGTGCAACTTCGTGTGGCTGTTGACGACATCACAAAAATTCGAGCCGAATACCAAACCGTCCCAACAACTGACGGCCTGTCCATCCAATTGAGTGTGTTTTAGTTGTGTGCCCATGCATGGGGTTACTGACCCAAAATTTTGATAGTGAAAACTGTTGAGCATTGTTAAGCCTAAAATGCATAATCAGAGAACACTCATTTGCATTTTTCTAGAATATACTTTATATGAATCTTCGTAGAGTATCTGAGCACATCTATACAAAGCCAATCAACTGGCTGAAAATATGCCTAATCTGCTCTGACCGTAAGGTTGTGAAAAAATGAAAAAAATTACATTGGCCTATGATTCTATTCATGATTCAATTAATTTGTTGATCAAATTTACAGATATACATATATTTACGAATAACTTATTAATGAATATCACAAAATTTGTATATTACAGCTCTAAGCGACTGCAGCGGAACACCTCTATAAAAATTATTTTGAGAAGTTTGCTCCAGTAAATTCAATAAAAATTAAAAGTGTCTAAAAGTGCTAAAATATAGAAAATCAAATACATAAAACTAAAATAGAATCGAAATATTAAGTGTATTTTTTAGCTGCATATTATATTCGTGTGTGTTTGCTATGATGCAGTCTAGTGTAACTCAAGTAAAAGCCAAGGAAATTGCTCACTAGCAATACCTTTAAATTGTTTACAAAGTATTAAATCAAAATCATAAAAATCTATATGTGTAGCATTGAGTGTGAATCAAAAAAGTCTATAACAATTTGCTGTTGTTCATAGCTAACAACAACCGCAAACTTAGGGATCACTATAGTTTTTTTTAGCCCTGAAAGAAATAACAGGACGGCTTCATCACGGAGTCTTTAGAGTTTTTTTCTATTGAGGACGACGATCTCGAGATGGATATACTACCGAGCGGAAATATATTCAACGAACTGGAGCGCATATGCACAACTGGCTATTTTTCATCACAGCCGTCGATTGAGGATCAATGGCAACAGGTGAGTGAGCAGAAGAAAGCGAATGACTTGTCTTAAAACTAGCGTATATTACAAACCTCATTAATAAGTATAAATAGTACGCGTGTTTTCCGCATATATCTATAATTGACGTCAAAGCAACATGCGCCTAGTATATTTTATTATACATATATACATATATATAAATTGGGAATCTCTATATTATCTTTGGCTTTGAATGGCCTTGTAGGGACTTATACATTGAGCAATTACATTACTTGTTTATGATTTTGGATCAACGATTTCTGACACTCTGATGAGAGAAAATTTCGGACATACATTTTAAAAATCCTTAGTTTGAACTACACCTTTTTCTGTTCTAATCTCTTCCATTTTAATTTAAATCAAACAAAGCAGTAGTAAAAATTGCGCATAATGCGTAAAAAATAAATACATTGGCACGTATAAACCATTTAAATAATGTGAATGTATTTTCTTTATAAATATATTTCTACAATAAAAAAAAAAAAAATTAAAAAAATTGATGCGGTCATAAATAAACAGTCGCCGTCGCTGTTGGTTATCATCTGAATAAATATATTTGTATGTATGTGAAATAATACATATTCATAATATATACTTATACTTATGTATATATGTAAGTATTTTGCAAAGAGCATTTGGCAAATATTAAATGATATGAAAATAAAAATATCTTATAAACACATATATATGAATATGCATGATATATACATGTATATGAGTATATATACATATGTACACACGCAGCGTTCTGTTTATGTACGAATTAAATTCCTCTCTTTTATTTTCTGCGCTGTGTGATAAAAACCGATCAACTTTGACTTATCAGAAACACCAGCTGATTTAGCGGTTTACTATGTATTTTTATTTTTGTTTGCATTTATTAACAAAAATGTTGACGCCTTATCATCATGTGACGCATAACACGATTGCTTGGCTATATGCGGCCCATGTCAAGCGCAACTCGCAATACACAGGCATGCAAAAAGATAAGGTAGATACTGTTCAATGCTTTCTATCTACGTAGTCTCTAGAATCTATATCTTAGATTCAAGTCAATGCATATATTCAAGCTACATACTGGCTTTTCTAAATTTGTTTACTCACTATGTAGAACACTCGCTACATTGCTTAAATATTTTATTTGATTATTGCGGCATTTATTTATTTTAATTATTTGCATGTGCCCCATTGAAATCCTCACTATTTATAAATGTGTGTTTCGCCATTTTACTGAACATTGGAAACATTTTTGATTTCAGTTTAAATAGAAATATAAATTTGGTGGCTGTGGGTGAGCACTACTGCATATACTATATATGGACACATGCATCCGATTTGAAAAATCTAGTTCTTGAAATATTTTGACTGTTTTCAAAAAGTGAAAAGATGTTGCCAAATGTTGCAGGTTTCTAAGGTTCTTAGCTTAGGTTAGCTCTTCTGCTAGAACACAGTTTTAGTTGGTGCTATAAAGTTTTAATTGGAACATGTTCAAGGATAACTTCATACACACTATATAAGTGGCTTGGATTGATGAAAAAAGAATATGAACGAATTATTGAACGAGCAATCGCGTTGTAATTAATATACTTTGTGCGACGGATGTATTGTTTATTTCCCGTTGACTTCCGGGGACTTCCGCTTTCTCTGTGTGCCCTGCCTCTGTTTTACTTAAAATGTTCTCCCACTTTATCTTCTTGCGCCTATGCTGCGTCATTTGTACCGAGCACTTGTCTGGAATTTCAGACAGCTGGCAGTTGTTTTTACAGTGGCAAAGATAAACAACCAAAGCTACATTTGTATCTTTATCTGTGTGCAAGAAAACATCTGTATCTATTTGTGCTACTGTAAAATTGAGTTTGTTCATATATATAAAACATATTTAGCCCAAAATCGACATATACATAAATAATAAGTTTTACTCATACATTTTTAAAGGATAATAAAAATTTTAACTTTTGCTAAGAACTTGTAAGCATGCATTATTTCAGTGTGAATGCTTAATATCGTCACCTTAAGGTTGAGTGCCGAGTTCTCTGGGCCTATTATGAATTCATATAGATTCGGCATACGGCATACATAATATCTTTATGTGCAATGGTATTGCTATTTTGCCCAAGACAAGTGCCGAAATCACTCTGACTGCGTTGGGGTCTGAGTACATATTCCCAGCCAGCTTTACGCACAATACACAATCAGCAGTTAACGTTAAACACGCCAAAAACGTAACAAGCCCAAAATAGCACGTACTATGCTAAAAAGAAAAATTAAATAAGAAAAAAAAAGAAGAAACCAAAATGCGAAAGCGAGAGTAAAATGCTGGGCATTGGAACTGGAAAATTCATGAAGATAGATGCGTATATATTCGAGACATCTACACATGTACGCATAAAGATAATAAGCTGAAGGCAGTAACAACTACAACGCCCACATCATTGAGTAACACGTCGTCAACGAATTCCTTTTGACTGTCGAGCGGTCCTAGGGTGCCAAACGAATACCAAGCAAATTTTTGTTTGAAAAATTTTCGAAGCAGCGAGCAAACCAACAACAACAAAGGAAAAGCAATCCCAAGTACGTGCAATTGCTAAAAATATTCTCAGCGTGGCGCAAAACGTGAGGACCATTCGTCTGTCTGCCTTAAATACTTGCAAGCAGGCTAAACTAAGCATACGAGCCGAGCCTCCATAGAGACACAACCCTCGAACCGTGGCTGTTGCTAAAAACTCTTGGAATCAAACCAGATATCTGAGCCGTCTCCACGTTCGCATCGCAGGGTACTAGCTGCTTTCAGCTTCCCTGTACTACTTTGAGTGGCGCTTGCCGTTGCTACTCCTATTACCCCCAATCATTTATCATCTTGACTGCAATTAATCATCAAATGTGCGCACTCACACATATACTGTCTGAGTAACTTAGTGTGTGTTTGAGCGTATGGGGCATGTCTTTTATATTGTAGATGTGGATGCCCGCCAGTTATTGCGAACATAGTCGCGCTCCGTTTGGCGCATATAAGATGCTAAAATATGTGCCTAGATATTTGTAGACTTGGAACTAACTGTGGGCATATGGGCTTCATCCCTTGCATTCAAGGCTTTCGCGTATAGATCGATAGGATAAAGGCAGAGCTAGAGTCCAAGACTTAATTGGCCCAACCATTTATAACCTTCTCTTTAATTTTTTGTTTGGCAACTGCACTTTATACCGAATTTAGTGAATAACATCAGATTAATTGAACTAATTTTCAGGAATTAGATTGAAAGTGTTTCAAGCTACCTTTGGGACTGCTTGAATATTCACGAAGTTGCAGCTTCGGTTTAAACACGTCTATGACAATTTGACCCATAACTGCTAGCGATGCTGGTTATATTGATTCGTTGCATGATTTTTGTTTTAGGTTTTGCGGCTTAAACATATGCTCTCCTAATTGGTTGTGTAATTATGTATTCAACGGTTGCGAACTGATAAACTTGTATTTATTAGAGTTATAAATCAAGGCGGCAGCTCATAGTCCCCATTATGCAGAACATTCATCAATGTTAGTAACTTCCTTCTTGACAGAAATAGAGGGGAGAGGGGTCGTATATCTGAGAAGCCGCTATCGGTAGATTCAGCAAACGTTTATTGCTTCTTCTAATGGTCTTCCTTTGCTTTGCAAAACTTGGGCTTATTGTTAAAGCCTCCTGGTAAAGAGAGGATATGTTCCGTAGATATAACAGTTGTTTTTTAATGATGAACGTTTTTTATTTTATATATACTTTTTATATATATTTGTGGGGTCTGCCACGCCTCCTTCTGCCCGTTACATACTTTTTCACAAAACTATTATGCCCGGATTTCCCATTTTCAATGGGTTCAGGGTATAAAAAAAAAAACAAAAAAAAAAACAGTAAATTCCTAATTATTTAGAAAGCTTTTCCAAGTATATTCATGCCCAGAGAACAAGGGGACGGCCACTCAAGACAGGGCTAGTTTTCTACTTGATTTTTGGGGACTTGGTTATAGTAATATAAAAAACTCATGTACTACGTTCATATGGAAACTGAAATCCAAAATATCTGGCAGAACTTCTAGGGCATTACAATATTGTCTCATTGGTAAGCATTGACTAATCATTTAAAATTACCGCATACATGTACTTACCCTCGACCCGGCTAAACAACAAATAATTTGTTCGTTTCGAGGCGCCACGTGGCGATTTCACAGGCAAATGTGTAAATTTATTTGCGGCTCGTTTAAGCGTAAGACCCAGACAGAAAAGCAAAAATGTTCAAATAGACAATTTTATTACGGTACAGCCAATTGCACACTTATTGTTTTATTTTTATTTAAATTGTAAATAAATACAAATTGTTTTTCATTTCTCTAGGCAAACAACACTTGTGCAACATCTTGTGCAAACGTTTGTGCAAAAAAAAAAAAAAAAAAAAAAAAAAAAAAAAAAACAAGAGAACAACCCTCCAAAACACATTTTTTTTAGCGTCGCACCCTGGAATTCGTATGAAAAAATTTAGAAAAAATTAAAATTTTGCACACTTGCCATTTTGTTTAATTTGAATCATAAAACAAACCCAAAATGTAACAGTACACGCAGATAGACAAAATCATATATAAATATATATGTGTGTGTATGTGTATATATATGTATATGTATACGTGTATATAAACCTATATATTTTGGGTAAATTATTTATCAGAAAGTAAATGCGTCGTACTTGGAATGCTAAACGAGTAACGAGGGCCGTAGCCTGCTTTCGAAGACGACTGAGAGAAGAAGAAGAGTGGGGTGACTATGGGGGTTGTTTTTCATGTTTAGACGTTGTGGCGGCAGCGCCCCTGCTCTTCTGGTTAAAGTTCTTATTCACTAGGGTGCTGAGCAGCAAATGCAGAGCCAGAAAAAATGCGGACAAAAAATGTATGTCAGTGAAATCGGAGGGGGGAGGGACTTTATTTATGTGCTGGAGCTTGCAACAGAAGCTCAATATTAAAGCAGTTGACAG